GGTCCTGACTGTCCATGGTCATTAAAAAGCTCAGTATGTTTCCTGTAAATAGTCGGGTGTTCCTCCAGTGTCCATAAAATTTTAAATTTTCATCTGGCCTTTACCAATCATGGCCTCCTAATAATCCCCATCTCTGAACCGGATTCATCACTCTGTTCTCCCCACTGAAAGCTGGTGTGTGGAGAGTGTACAGGTGCGCTATGGGTGCTGTTACATCATTCAGGTGGTGGCTGCACATTGGTGGTGGTGGAGGGGAGTCCCCATTATCTGTATGGCACTTGGAGTGTCCAGAAAAGCGCTATACTGTATAAGTGTTTATTATTATTTAAAGATAACTTGGTGACATTGTCATCCAGGTCCTGAAATGCTTTTGCTAGTGCTGTGCCACAAAATATCTTTGCAGTAGGTACAGTTGTTCTGTGTTCTATGCCCCTCTCCTCCCATTTCCCTGTACTGTGAAGTAAATCCTCAAAGTTGATGTTGAAGCTGCTTGTTTGCCTGTTGTGTGGAAGGACAGGACAGGGACTTCAGTACTCTCTGTTGAATGTTGCCACACAAAAAAACAACTCTCAATTTTATAAACAGTGATGTGATGAAAGAGAATATGTACCATACTTTGATGTTAAATGTGCCACTACTCATTACAGTAAGTGTCCCAAGCTCATTACACCACAAGTGTTTAGATTTGCTGGTGTCATTGATGACTGCATCACAGACCTGGGTCTTGGCTATCCTCTTCAGCTGTGCTGACAACTTCTTGAAAACGAAGGCAGTTAGAGAGAGGGCACAGCAGTTTTTTCCATTGTCAGACACAGAGGGCACTAGTGGAAACTACATGGAACGGCATTTAAAAACAGACAACAGGAGGCAGTTCTTTACACAAAGGGTGGTGGGAGTCTGAAACCAGGTACCCAGCCATATGATTGAAGGTGATACCCTGGCTTCTTTCAAGAAACGGCTGGATGAGATTCTCTAATCAGGACAAGAGTCACTCCTTTACACAAAAGGTTGTGGGAGTGTGGAACAAACTACCCAGTCAATATGTTGAAGCAGATACTGTGGCTTCTTGCAAGAAACAGCTGGATGAGATCCTGGGATCAATTAACTTCTAACTACTAAAGGGGCTGGATGGATCAATAGGCTGTCTCTTGTCTGTGACCTGTCTTATGTTCTTATGTGCCTGATAGGAAACTCATTATCAGGATAGAATAAGACTTTATATACTTTGAATATATACTTTGTATATAGAGTTGTAGGCAAAGGCATGTACACCCTTTGTAAATGCTGCATAGGCACAAAAAAACACCTGATTTTAAGATTGTATTGACAGTGACAGCAGAAAACTGTGTTTAACTACAGAACATTCAATAAGCCAAGCAATTTTACATTGCTCAATGCAAATCACTGAATAATGGTCCTATTACCGGAAAGTTCCCTACGTTCTTGGGTTTAAAGGACAGCTGAATGATGCCAGGATGGAGGCCCGCACTGCTGCTGGAGACCTGGTCTCTGGAATCACATGGACAGACTGGTAGAGCTGGGGAGCTGGTGGCTGTCATATCTGATTGTGTCTCTGTTCACGTGTTCAGAAACAGCCACCACCAGCACTGACAAAATACTGGGTCTGTAGGAAAACAACATTTTATTTTGCAACATTAGCAATGAATTATGCTGTCGAAAGCTTGGAATGCAATAAGATTGGGAGATTTTCTCCTGGTCAAAACTCAAGTGCTTCTTGAAGAGGCCAACAGTATCTTTGTATCTTAAGCAGCTGGCAGGGATGTTTCACCACTAAACATAAGCTTATCAGTTCCCCCATATCATCAGTTCTGTATTCTTCAGGATTTTATACAATTAAATCAGCTCTCCTCTTGGTCTCCTCTGTTCTAGACTGAAGAGATTTAGCTTCCTGCAAATCCTCTGAGACCTGGAATCATTCTGGTTGTTCTTCTTTGAACTCTTTTCAAGGCTAAAATTTCCTTTTTCGTGCTATGTTGGCCAAAGCTCACAATATTCTAAGTTCGGCTTTATTTGAGCATTGTATTGTCTGACCATAATTTCACCGGATTTCAATTCCACGCTCCGTGCTTCATAACCCAAGCTTTCTGCTTGCTTTTTAATGTTTCTCCACTTTATCCTAATAAGGACATAACCGACAGTACAGTGCTTTGCAAAACTATTCAGACACCCGTGGTGTCCCCTTTTCTAAAATTGAAACATGATGCATACCCATTTGTTAAACTTTGTAAAATTCTCAAACTACAGACTTCTAAGGGTAAGATAAGTTACAGTAAATATCAGCAAAACCTTACAAAATATGTTGCTTAGCTAAGTATGGGGGTGGCTCTGTGGCTAAAGATCTGCACATGTGGCTAGAAGGTTGCTGGTTCAAATCCTACAGCTGGCAGAGGAACCCTACTCCATTGGGCTCCTGAGCAAGGCCCTTAACCCCAACTGCTCCAGGGGTGCTATACAATGGCAGACCCTGCACTTTGACCCCAGGCTCTCTCTCTGTTTGTGTGTCTCATGGAGAGCAAGCTGGGGTATGTGAAAAGATAATTCCTGATGCAAGAAATTGTAAAGGGTTAATACAGCGATATTATTATTATTATTAAGTATGCAGGCCCTTGAAAGCATTTGGCAAAAGCACCTTTGCATTTACAGCCTCAAGTCCTTTTGAATGAGTCTCTACCAACCCTCCTCACCAGCATGGTGCAATATTTTCCCATCCGTCTTGGCAGATTGGCTCAAGCTCTCTCAAGTTGCTTGGGGCTCTCAGTTTTCCACTCTTTCTCACTCTTTCCCCACTCTTTCAAAATCCTTCTTGGCCTCACAGTGGCATCTCCCACCAGATTCCTGCTATTCACGCCGGAGTGACAGACAGGTCTAGGCAGTGTCTGGGTGCTTCCCATTTCTTAATGGTCCACGTCACCCTGCTCCAAGAGATATGAAGGGTCTTGGAAATCTTTTAAGACCCTTGTCCTGATTTGTCTATTTCTACCACTTTATCCCTGTGTGGTTTTGGCTCCTTGGTCTTCACGGTTGAATCTCAGCTTTGAAATTGTCTGCATTTCTGTGGGTCCTTACAGAGACAGGTGTTCTTCTTCTGAAATCATATGAACAAAAAATACTGCACAGAGTAAGTAATTATTAAGGTAGTCTTGTGCACCTAAAGTCAGTTAGGTTTGCCACACCAAAGGGTTTGAAAACTTCTGCATTCATGATTTCTCCATTTTCATTCATATCAGCTATGCATTTCTGTTTTTCTTACTGGCCTTGAATGTGTGCCTTGCGAGTTACGTATATAACAGATATTAATTGTGACTACAAAGTGTCATGTCTGGAACTTTAAATGAGAAACACGTGGGATTGATTGAATAATTCTGCAAGGCCCCACACAGAATCCTTTCATACAGGTCTGAGTCAGGCATGCGCTATCTTCAGTGTATGTTCCTACTTCCTGAAACTGATCAATATTGAATTTCTTTTTCCTAGTATCTGCCCGCTGCATGACCTTAAATCTCGAGTCTTTCTTATTGTTGTCTCCTTGCTGCTGTCCCCCCCTCTGGATTTTCTTCCATCCTTTCATCCATTTTCTAACCACTTTATCCAACACTGGGAATAAAGGATAACCAGGGAGCTGGAGCCCATCCTGGCAAGCAATGAGTGCAAGGCCAGATCAAAGGGCACACACAGACACGCTCACACCAGGGCCAATTTTCCCAGAAGTTAATTAACCTGGAGGAAACCCATGCAAACGTGGGGAGAACATACAGACTCCACACAGATAGTACTCCAGAAATTGAACCCAGGCCCCGAGTGCTCTGAGACAGGAATGCCAACCACTGTGCTGCCATACTCATTTTTGTGTCTTCTGCCAATTTAAGATTCCCTTAACTGTACATCACAATCTAAGAGGAGCCAGGAGGAGCAACTTGTGCCAGTCGTGTTTTAATGTTCTAACCCTTGTAACCAGCAGGAGTACCAAAATGTTTATTGCTACTCTGGTATTTCATGTTTCACATCTTTTGGTGTTGGGGAGCCATGACACTGTGTTTTTCAAGTACCATTATGAAAAAAAAAGGTATTCAAATTGGGGTTAAAATTGGAAGACTTTGGTGGCCTGGAACAGTGGTGTAACTGATATATATTGCATACAAAATTGAAATGCCTTGCTTCTTCAAAACATATAGTTGACAAAGAGGGGGTGAAAAAATAAATCCTAGAACTTTTTCACTGGCTGGTCTGTGAATATATAGATAGGCATGAGGATTAAGTCACTGAAGCGGACTGTGGAGATGCTTTTGGATGTCAGGAAACACACTCCTTGTGCAGCATACCTGTGTGTTTGGTGTAAGGTGCACCAGAGCATGCTGGGACATTCCCTGGACAGCCCTGTCACATGACATGACCTTGTTGAACATTTCTGAGGCCAGCCTGCATATCCCATGCCACAGAGCCTGTCCAGAAACAGGATACCCTAGACACGCAGAGAGACTGCACCATCACTGCTCGTGTGGCCTTTATTTCCACTGGCAGTCATGTGTGATACTTTTGAAAGTTTGAATATTCTAATTTCGAGACAGTTTCTAAAACAGAAGAGCCACTAATGACCCTTGTCAACCGCTGCATATGTTTTTTTTTAAATATATATACGTTACTAAAGACGGGCAGTGTATTTCAAACGCTTGAGAGAAATAAAAAACAATATTCAAAAAACCTTTGAAATTAAATAAAACGCTGAGCGTTACTTAGCTCAGCAGTTTATTATACAAGTATACACTTCCTTCAAGCGCTGCAGCTACTACTGTGTGCAGAGCGCTCTGGGATTCTGGGAATCCGGGAAGCGCTATATTATCGCAATTAATTATTTTAATCATCAAGGAAACGTAGGCTCAGCAAATACACCTTTAAGATGCAACCACGTCCCTCCCCTTAGAAAAAAAAAATGACATCAGTTTCAAGGACCAATGGCAGTGCTAGATCCGTGTCTGCGAGACGCACAGTGTGTATTTTTCATGGGAGAGTGTACGCTCCTGCTACGAGTGCGTGTGTGTGAGAGTGGGGATGTGTGGTGTATGCGTGTCTGTGTGCAACCGAGTTGACATCGAGTCGAGACCCCTAAGAAGCTGTGCGTTTATCATTTTTAGTTTTTGGACAGCGTTGCGGGGTGTGTGGAGGGGGGACCGATAAGTGTAGCTGGAGTTTTAGTAGGGACGATTGGAAAAGTAAGATAAAGTAATTTATGGAGCCAGTGGGAACCGATTTTCGTGGGAGACTGTAAATCATTCACACGGTAACAAGAGGACAATGTGGACTTTTTATTTTCTCGCCGTAACCGTTCCATGAAAACTAAAGCTAGGTGGCCAGATTTCTTCTTGAAGTATTGATCAGATCGGACGGAGGGGCTGAAGACGTCTCCCCCTTTTCTCACCCCACGACAGAACTTTCTTGAGTGAGTGCCTGCCTGCCTGTGTGCCTTTCTCGACTCTGTGCAGGCTTGTCACGTTAGTTACACCATCACCCCTGTCGTTATTTGGTTTAACCTCTCTTTTCCACGACCTAAATCAAACATTTCTATATATTTAAAAAAGAACAACCGCGATGCTGAAGACTTTAACGAAAAAGCTGAGAAGACAGTCTCTAAATGAAATTCACCCTTTTCAGTTCAAGGTAAGTCTTTCAGTGTAAGTATAAAAAACAGAGAAGCATGTACAGTATTTACATATTCTAACCCAAACACCTAGCTGAAAGAACATTTCCAAACTGAAACTTGAGGTGGAACTGCCTTTTCTGCTTTCCTCTTAGTTTGCACGAAATGTGCAATTTAAGGTTGTTTTCGGTGCATTCTGTTATATATATATATGGTCTGGAATTTTATCTGTTTTATCTGATTCTACAAATGACAAACACTGGTGTTCTGTGTATAAGCTGATGGTTGTGACTTTCTATCCAAGTTTATAGAACCCAGATTCTGCACAACACATCAGTGCCTTGTGCTACTTTAACAGCCATTGTTGTGCTGTAGTGCACCAGTCGTTTGCTATGGTTTTCTCCTTCCAGTGCTGTACAGGTACTGTTGTTCAGAATGTGCACAAGTTTCACTTTGTGCTTGTACTGTCTGTGGCGTGTGGCACAGCGCACTTTCAGTTTCCTCCTGGCAGTGTCTCTCTGGGTTGAAAAGTTTGGGGGATTGCTGGTGTACATACTACACAGCTGCACAAGGGTTCCCTCAGTACAGACTGCCATCTCAGCAGCTTGTGAACGTACACACACACACATACACACGTCTGCACTCGGCAGAACACTGGTTCCCCTCTCAGAGACTTTAGACTGCATTTCCTTGGCCTGCTGCGAGGATGAGAAAAGCTGAAGCAGAGTTACTGCGTTTGTGGTTTCACCAGATGAAGTGGGTGATGAAGTAGCTCAGGGGTGTGAGCTGAAGTTCAGCACTGGTAACCTTTATAACTTGCAGTTGTATAAGAACCCATGAAAGGTTGCAAACCAGAGGAGGCTGCTGGGCCCAGATTGCTTGTTTCGTTATGAGCTTTCTTATTTGAATATGGTGTAATAGAGCTGGTTGTGGAGAGCTTTGTGACAGAACCTGAGGTTAAAAGGGCAATATGGATCAGATTAACATGATCCAGCGTGTGGTTGTCTTAAATAAATATGCAAAGCTAGTGAAATAGCTGACTGAAGGTGCTGTACCTGACATGGAGAAAAACAAATCTAGTTTTAGAAAACAAAAAACCCAAGATACACCTTGTCCCAGAATCTCCAAATGTTAGTCCATTGTGGTGTTACCCATGAAACAGTGCAGCTCTCCTCAGAATTGGCACAGGTGAAGCGTGGCTGTTTTCCTAAATACCTGTTCTTGCAATTAAGTTCATTTGCTGCTATTTGTATTGTAAGCTGTCATGCTGAACTGGACTGCTACTTTATCTGTGTGAGGTTAGATAATCAGTGTGGAACTGTAAATAATTGACACATTGAGGAAGTTGGTTTTTGTGCTGTTGACAGAGCTGCTGTTTTATGTTGTTCTTGGAGCGGACGCGTTTGAGTAAAGTCCTTCTCGCCAAAGGCCGGCAATGATGGGTCATCCATTCCATGCATCTGTCCATCTGTCAGTCCATTCTCCCCCTCCATCCTTCCATGCCACTCTCCTGTCCATCCCTTTGTCTATCCATTCCATCCTTCTGTCCCTCCATCCCTCTATTCCATCCATCCCTCTGTTCATCCATTTGTCTATTCACCCATCCCTCTATTCCATCCTTAATCCATCTGTTTCATCCATCCCTCAGTCTATCCATTCCTCCATCCACTCATCCATCCTTCTGTTCCAACCCTTCCCTGTTTTCCATCCATCCGTCAGTCCGCCCATTTGCTTATCCATCCATCCATGGATTTATTTGTTATCATGTCCTTTCCAACACTTTGCCGCAGTTCACTTTACAGATTAATATTGTAGTTAATAAAATGACAGTTGACTGTGTGGGCATGGAGGAGAGGAAAGCAAAAACTGCCAGCGCAAGAGAAGAAACCTCTGGGGGTCCCAGGCCCAGTGGTTGCGGTCCTCGTTCTGGCATCCCAGGGTCTGATGTCGCACACATTCCCTGCACTGAGTTCTGTCCAGGCAGTGAGAAAATAAGAGATAGGAAAGAGTGTTACAGTAACTGCATGGAAGATCACCAGGGCACATTTCCAATACTTACCGGAAATCCCTGACACAAGCACAAAGGGCACATTACCCCAGCTGTTAGTGGACCTGGCTAACCTGGGGCTGTGCTCTTCTTTGCTGTCATGTGTCCCTTGTGCTATAAAAAAACAGGGGTATGTAAAAGCAAAGTTAACAGCTGCTGTGAGGAGTACATTATCAGTTTGATTCTAAAAACTTTAGTTTGTTACCACAGACCGACCGTGAGGCGATGGAACAAATATCCGTGAGGTGAAAATGAATAATTAACGTTTTCTGGATTTTGTATAGCACATTTCTAGTCACACTTCTCCCTTTCTGAAGCACAGCACCGACCTGAGCCATCAGCCCCAGAGCTTCTCCACTTGTATTAGGTTGAACAAATGGCTCTATCGATTTTCTGCAGTCTTTTATTCCAACTGAAGACCTTTGCAGACAGGCCCTGAGTGAGACAGGAGTGGTCTGCAGAGTGGGCATCTTTGGATACAAGCATTTCTTTACAGGGCAACTTGCCAGTAAGAGCAGAGGAGCTGCTGGACAGGAAGTTAGGGCAGGAAATGGCTAAACAGATGAGGTAGATGAATTACACGGAGTGAGGAGTTCAAGCACGGGGAACAGCATAGCTTTTTTACCCCAGTTCTAAGGATATTGCCCAACTAGGGATTTCTAATCTTTTGTAGTGTTAAAACAGTTAGTGCTACAATTATGATTGCACATACTGTAAGCACTTTGAGATGGTTGCTTTTATAAGAGCTATACTGTATACTGTAGGTTAAAGTTCTTTGTCATCAAGGATTCAGTACCTTACATTAGATATTTAAATTTTCACAATATATCATGAATTCTTCAGAAATGTCCTTTATGAGCTAGTTCTGAATCATACATTTAATCAAAGTGAACTTTTGGGATTTAGGTTTTGAGCTTTGGCGGGTAATATTAGAATCTCCTAGGTATACCTTATTGCAAAGTTTTTTTTAAAATATGAAAACTGATTACAGTTTTCTTGGCGTTTCTCAGAGAAAGTAGAATTTTGTGAATACTACATTGGAACCGAGGTGCTGTTTTAGAAAATAAATTAGTCTTTAAGAGCCTGCTAGCACTACATCTCCAGATTCAGTGAAAGAAAAGAAGTTTGCAGTGGCGAGAGAGACGGCTACCGCATGCACAGCATGTTGCATTTCACACAGCCAGAATCCTTGCCCGAGTTTTAGTTCCCAGGTGTTTATTTGAAGTGAAAACATTGATATTCCATACATTAAACTGTCGTGTATTAACCCTCCATCCCTACTCGCATTCTCACCAGGAGTTGCACGCACTTACTTATTGTGTGTATTTGCACAGGATCTTGTACATATACTCATACACTCGCAGAGATTGGCACGCGGTCGTACTCGTACACTCGCACAGATTGGCATGCAGTCATACCTCTACATTCGCACAGATTCTCACAGTCATACTCGTGCACTTGCACAGATTCGCATGCAGTCATACTCGTGAACTTGCACAGATTCGCATACAGTCATACTCGTACATTCCCACAGATTCGCATACAGTCATACTCGTACACTTGCACAGATTCGCATGCGGTCATATTCATACACAGGCCTGTGCTGATCTTTGTATAAAGGAATTGCAGAAATAAATATAAAATTCAGAAATAAAAAAAACCAAATGGACTCAATAACAAGGAAGGTGAGAACAGTAAGGCCCGGCTGATAGGAAAGTTTTATCAAAAATACATTGTATAAATCAATTTGCCCAGATTTTCGATCTCAAGTATGTTTTAATCAACTTGAGCTCTGAAAAACTCCTTTCTGCTCCTGCTGCTGTCACTGTCTGCCATCCAATTGGAAACAGGTTCAGATCACAATACCCCCATTTAATGAAATACAGGAGAAAGGGCAAGGAAAACAGTGCATTTATATTCGCTTTCACGCTTTTGTTTTACCAGGCAGCCCACACGTCATGTGTACAATTGCAGGAAAGGTGAACCTTTTAACGTCCAGTAAAATACCTCCAGTAGTCTACAGTACATGTCTAGCTTGAAGATGTGACATGTCTGCCATTCGCTAGCTACATGTATCTACAGACTCAATCTTTCTTGAGCGTACCTCTGTTTTGAGATAGCTTATCCCGCTCTTCTTTTCTGTGCTTCAGAAACATATTACGTACTCGATTATTGGTCATTTTTTTACATGATTAGGAAAATCCACAGCAGCAACAGAAAGAACCACTATAGGGAATTTTTAGCTCACGTTTGAACGTGCCGATTGAAAATAGTTTGTGCTGCACATTGGGGGGACCCCCTGTTGGCCTCGGGACCTTAGGCAGTCGCCTAGTTCGCCTGTGCCCAGGGTCGGTCATGCTCGTACACTTGCACAGAATTGCACCCCAGCTCATACACATTCTGGCCACAAATATACACTGATAGTCATGCGGATTAACTACTGGATTGACGGGGCCAATTATAGAAGCTCTTAATTTCTCCCCTGGCTTCCAATAACAGACACTAATCAGGAAATCAATCCAGGTGTGTCCAAGAGGACACATTGGCCAAAGCCTCAGCTTGTCACCATCACATTATGGTGTTAGGGTCGGGTTGCACCCGAGTCTGCATCTCCAATTTTCACTTATTCTGCTAAAAGATGATGTTTGTGCAAATCAAGAGTGGGGTGCGATGTGATTGCCTATTATATACACATAATCCCCCAGAATTGCACGGACACTCACATGCAGCATTGCACGTAGTCATTCTCTGTTGCAGTTGCACAAAAGTGCATGAAGACATACTGTACTTGAACATTCACAAAGAATTGCATGCACACTTACACACTCACACGCAATCTCAATGAGGAGTTCAGGCTTGGAGAACTCGTGCAGACTTACAGTATATGCACACTTTCAGGCTCTTGCAGGATCGCACACACAGATTCATATACTTGCACAGAATCTCACACAGTCGAACACACTCACACAGAAT